CCTACAAGTACCATTGGAAGTTGTCGATTTGATCCCACGTTATTGTCCAGGTCATATTCTTCAATGACCAGTTTGAAAGGCACACTGTGCGCTAATCACATGGGCGGAGTCAGGCCCCCGTGTAGTCAGAAACGAGTAGAGAGATTGTATATAAATCGAAGCACAGGTACCTGAATATCCCACAGGCATTCTTCATCGTTACCGTAATCCTTCGGCCAATTGGGTGAATGTACAACACCTGTCATTGCATGAGTAGTAAAGCCGCATTCTGTAACATAAGGCTGTAAAGACAATACCATCGATGAGGGACGGGAGCATGTTTTTTAGCTAGTTTGTAACAGAGGGCGTTTCACAGAAGCTGTCGCGAGCGGGTGCGAGGCGTCTCTGCGGAACTTATGTCGGCTTTTCGTGAACAGTGAAAATGAACAGAGCAGTACGCCTTCCTAGAATGTTTTTCTACTACGCTGAGTAACAACTCCATGTTAAGGGTTATCTACAGTGCCGCGACGCAACCGCACGTGGCAGTGCTTGTCGACCACAATCAGAGCAAGTAATTAGGTTGAAATCCAGTAATTCCAGCGCTACCTGCACCGTCCGGTATAAACTCGTAGTCAATGCGCCATCCTCTGTATTCGTTCTCGCTGTCAGTGGTCCACGTCAAAGTAAGATAGCGTGAGCGTGATTTCACCATCTGCAAGAATCAAGATAACTCGTCCATATCCAAACGTCATTCACTAAACACGTCCACCTTGAATCGCTCTTTCAACATCTCCTCTTCGGTTTCGTTACCATAGCGCTTCTCACGTGAGCAGTAGCGATGGATAACATCGTTATCAGGTCCTAAAATACCACCAAATCGGAAACGTTAAAACAAATCTCGCATGTAAGTTAACAGCACAAAAGGGCGCCGTTCGGCTTGGGAGGGGCATTTTGCACTCTGCCTATTTCGTTTTGCTGGTTCCTGTTGGTCCCCACAGGAAGGTAGACAGTGAATGATGGGAATAACAAAAATGCCCCTACCAAACCGATTTGCCCCCTTGAAGAGAAC